ATTCAGTTGATAATATATATCTTTCAATATATTTGCATAAAGAAGAGACAAAAGACATAATGCACTACATAACAAAGAACAAACTCTTCTTTGTCTATATTATGCGCTACAAAAAAAGCAACTTTTCTGAAATTAGGATAATTTTTATAATATATATAATTATATGAGAGTTAACAAAATAAAACTCCTATATTACACATAATTATATATAATTTTTCTGAAATATAGAAATCAGAGTCACCATAAGCCCTTCTCTGATTCCACCACCAACAACAACAACAAAAAAAACAAGCTAAAAATTGCACAATTAACCAATAGATCCTTATTTCCAAGGCCAATATCTTATTCAATAAAACTGTACATCTACAACCATGCCAAAGACCAAGTACCACAACATTACCATTCTCCTGCTAACCTGAAACCAAGGAGAGAAAAAAAAAAAGACCAAAAATACAAAAAAAGGTTACCCACCTTTTAAATGAATGCAGTGAGGTTCAGCTTCAAATGACCAGACTAACTGCATTTGATCAATCAGGTAAATTCTCATAAACATCTAAGGGTTTGTTTGGGACGGTTTTTTTATTGCTTCCTAAAGCAACTTTTTAGTACAAAAATTAAAATTTTTGTACTACAAAACTGCTTTAAGAAGCAGTAAAAAAATTGTCCCAAACGAAGTCTAAATCTTCACAATCTACTAACAATCAGCAGCACTAACTGTAAAAACACATAAAACCATCACAAGGACTTCCAGATGAATTAGTGATCAAGTCCACATAATAGAGAGAAAAGCTACCAAAACTATTTTAGAGCTCACTCTTTTCTTTCAAAAAGAATCGACTAAATCCGCGACCGGGCTTATCATTCAACATGCTTGAGAGAGAAGAAGCAGATGTTGATCTTGACCTGTTCTTCGGACGCTTTGTAGTGACCGTTGGTTTCAGTACAGGGCTTGATTCCATGTCTGATGAGCTGAATTGGGAGCTGTATTCATTTTGTGGGGACTCCACTCCTTCAATTACTGTTGCAGGATAATGAGACTGCTGTGAGTTGTAGCTAACCGGGTTAGGAGGTTCTTCCCTGAAATGGCTACTCCTGCTCATTGCTTCTGCAGGAGGATGCAAAGCATTTAATTGCTTGTTTATAAGGATTATTGTCTCCTGGCATTCTGCAAGCTTGTCTGCAGCTGCAGCAATCTCTCTCTGCTGTTATAGAATATTCAATAAGATTGGCTGAATAGGCAGGAAGGAAAGAATCAAATGCATATGAAAAAATGTCCTTACCTGTCTTGCCTTGGTGTCTGCATCAGTTTCTGAATGGCATGAACACTTCGAGCAACTCATGATCCTTTTAGGAAATAGAAAGATCAAATAATGTCAGAAAGAACAAGCAAAAGACTACTTAACAGACTAAAGAGATGGAAATCAATAAATTTATGCAATGATGGATAAGTTCTTTCAAAGTTGAATCATAAGGAAAAGGAGGTAAATTGTAGTAAAGTTACTAATACTAACCTAATTTGCTCCTGCAGATCAAGATACTTGGCTAGATCATCCTGATGACTGTGCCTTTCTGCAATGAGCTCGCTTTCCAAAGCTTCAGCTTTTGACCTTAGCAGGTTTATTTCAGCTTCTAGTTCCTCTGCCCTTGATTCCAGTAACTTGTAGGATTCAGTCATGCACCTCAGTTGAGTGTCAGTCAAATCGTTCGACTTCTGACAAGCAGATAACTGAAGATTGAGCTCTGCTAAGTTCTGCACAGTTTCAGCAAGCTGAATCTTCATATGTTCCAAAGATTCTTTGCAATTTACGAGATTTACTTCCATGTTATCTCTCTCCATCTTCAGATTTTTAAATTCTTCAAAGGAGAAGCTATCCGGTGCAGCCTCTGATTCAGATGGAAGATTGCTAGGTCCATTAAAAACTTCAGGAGCAGATACTGAAGGAGAAAGATCACAATCTCTATCTAATTTCCCTCCTGTTGAATCATGATGAATTATTCTATTCTCTAATAAAGTTACCTTATCAATGCAATCAGTAATCCCACTCTCCCCCGTAGCCCATGTTCTCAATATAAACTCCTTGGTTCCAGACAACACATGGCACAAGGAAAGGATAAAATCAACTGGATCCAAATTGTTACAGAAAATTTTGTTGACAGAATTTGAGAACTCCTCAAGTTTCTCTGCTGTTGCTTGAAGCACAGATGATTTCCCATGGGTCACTTCCTTGCACAGTAATATAACAAAATCATGGATCCAAGATATGGCACTTCTCAAGTCCTGATTCATTGAAGTTTCGATTTCCCTGCATGAGTTGTCATGGTGCTTCAAAGATGTTTCAAAGTCAGCAACTTCCATGCTGTGCTGAGCCTCCCCATTGAGATGGTCTTTGGGCTGAATTGGCCTCTCCTTTTGTGCATCTTGCACTATTGCCATAATTTCCTCTACAAGATGTCTTGCTTTGGAATCAAGAACCTTAGATTCAACAGCATGAGCTATTTGCGCCTGAATCTTTGATAATCTTTGTTTCAAACTAGGTGTTTTTTCTTTACACACATCCATATGAACATCAACTGATGAAGTGTCATCACAGTTTTCATGCTTCATATTATCCAATCCTTCATTTGAAACAGTGACAACTCCATTGCTTTCTGATGACAAACCAGCCAATTTCTCCATTTCCAAAAAGTCATCCATAAGATCCAAGTGATTAGAACTTTGAGTAATCTTGAGTCTATTATTTTTCTCTTTCTTAAACTGTGACAGCTCTGAAATCAATACAGAGGCCCAAGACTCAGCATTGCTCCCTGCATCATCGATTCCATCCTCGGACATCGAAGCTAGACTCTGGTTGCTTTCATTTTGACTCAAGGATCCTTCAAAGGAGATGTCAACATTTGATTTCGACGAGCTCTTTTGCTGATTCATAACGAGCACCTGTGATTCAAGGATGCGAAGTTTGTTAGCCGTTTTGGCACATGTGCTTGCTGAATCCTGAAGCTCACTGTTTCTTTTTGACAGAGCCTCCTTTAACATCTTTGTTTCTTCCTCCATTGCAAATAAACGAGCAGTAAGAAACTCAATCTCTTTGTGGCAATGCTCAACTTCATTAACATTGGCCTCCTTAGACAAGAATGGATAGGAGCTTGACCTCTCACCAGATTGCCTCCTAACTCTGGATTCCCCAAAACCATGTCCTAATCTCTCAACTTCCAGTTTCATCTGAGCTAAAGCAGCAGGACCAGGCAACCTCTTTCTCACAAGGCCACGTAACCTTTGGCACTCGGCTTCTAGCTTGGTTATCTTTTTCACATCATCAATGTGTTGTTTGTTTGCCACTTCAGTTGATTTTACACACAAGTTCTTCTCCTCGTTGCGAATCTCTAGCTCCTTGGCTGTAACATTTAGTTCATATTTCATAGAGCTTATTTCCCTTTCATATGATTGAATATTGGTTTTAAGAACTTCAATATCAGCATCAGCCTGGACTTTTTCCTCGCTAATTTTCATTAAAAATGCAGAGCGTTCTTGAAGAGACCTCGAAAGCGCAGCTGTTTCCGCGGAATTCTTTAGGAGTTCCCTCTCCAAACCAGCAATTGTAGCTTCAAGTTCAGATTTAACGTTCTCCCATAGTTTGGTCTTTGCAAAGACAACATCATGAAGCTTTTTCTCACTTTCTTCCTTCACATTACGGATCTGTTTCATGCACTCCTTAAGTGCACCATCAAGATGAGCTGTTTTCTCTTCAGCAGTTAGCTTAAGCAGGGTTAAAGATTCAAGCTGGTGTTTTAAAGCCAAAGTTTCAGCTTCAGCCTTCTCCCACCCTATGAAATGCAGAAAATTTTAGTGAATAAGGTCCCCCAACAAGTTTTTGCCTAGTTGAAAATGTAAGATACTTCAATTGCAAAGTCTGTTTTCAGTCATTGAAAAGTAAGAAGCAGGTAACATTTCAATTTTGAACAACAAGATACCTGAAATAGCCTCTTCAGAAACTTTAGAATGTTGCTTAACAATATCATCCTTTGTGGTCATATCAGCCTGAGCTGAGGATAGCTTTTTATTAACAACATTCAGTTTTTCATTAAGAACCACTACTTCCTCTTCTAGACCGTTAAAATGCTCATACTTTTCTACAGAAATTTGTACAAAACTCACAGGTTTTGCATGCTCCTGCAAGAGAAAGAAATATCAAAGATTACATTGGTTGGTCCCTGTAAGCAGTAGGCCAGTCAAAATAGCTTCTTGAACAAACCGTGTCTGATTTGATAAGTTAACACGTCGAATACAAATAAAATTTTTTTGCTTGTTTGCTTAATAAGCCGAGCATCGCAAAACTTGAGCTCACTGAAGCTCAACTCTTTTACACCCCTAGCATGTAGAGCTATAGAACCTAAAGAGTTTAAGCATGTCACTAAGGCTCCGTTTGTGACGGCTTTTTTACTGCTTCTTATAGCAGCTTTCTAGTACAAATTTTTTTAATTTTTGTACTAAAAAGCTATTTTAAGAAGCAGGAAGAAAGCTGTCTCAAACGAAGCATAATAAGAAAATACATCAAAAGTGATCTTCTACCTTTCTCATAACCATAAAGCAATTGATACTTCAGATCTGATGAAACAATACATAAATTTTAATATCATAACATAATTTAAACCTTAAGTAACTAACCTGTTCTCGTTGCTTGACTCCTGTGTTAGATAAAGAAGCCCTTACAGAGTCAGAATCACTGCTTGCTTTCTCAGATGATTTCCTCTTCCAAGGCCAACTTCGCCTATCCATTCTTCAAATATTATTCTGCAGTAAGCACTTTAAAAGTCAGAGAAACTTAATAGATTATCAATAAGCTCTTGAAAGATAGCAAAATCTGCAGTAAAATATTTTCTCATTAAATAATCATGAATAAGAACACAGAACTCTGCTCAGTAAAAGATACCAAGTTGTGACAATTGACAACCATATCAGAATAAATTCACATGGAAAAGAGTTCAATTAATAAAAAATTAAGAGTAGACAACAAAGTTAAAATAAGTGGAAAGAAAGCCAGTTAAAATTCTTAGATGATGAAAACCAGAATTAAAAATTGTAGAAAGAAGCCAGAAGTATCAAGGATAAAGTTTCATAATAAATTCATGAAAAAAAGTTCAGATAGGCAACATGAAGATCAGATTTACAACATGTGAAGTAGTAACCAAGTAATATCCACTGAAGAAAATAAGAAAAAGCTAGAAAAACAGCCACATTCACATACAGGAAATAAGGAGAAGGGCAAATCCAACAAGAAAAAAAAAAAAGCAAGAAGATATTGAGGTTTACTATGACAACACAAGCTTGAACTAATTTAGAAGGGAACATCTCATTAACCAGTCAATTCAACACAAACCATAAGGGAAAAAAAATTCCTTTTGCTACTTCTGTTGCTGGGAAAATAGTATAAATCCATTATTTCCTTCAATAAAACAAAAAAACAGAGTTTGCAAAAGAACAAGAACAATTACAAGTCCAAAAAAAGAACTATTTTCCACGTGAACAATGAACTGGCTGGCGCTAATTGTCTCAAATTTAGAAACAAATTCAAAATGCAATACCAAAGCAGAAAAAAATAGGATTAAAAATGGAAACAAGCAGAAATTATGCTATAACAAAAATCAAAGCAAAAGAACCCAGAAAAAAGATCAGCAGCTTTCAGAACATAAGGAACAGAAGAGTAAAGAGAAATAAACCCACAATCAACACAATGCACGCTGAGTACTGATAACCCTACCTCGGTGTAAGAACATTAAAAACTAGAGAGTTAAGAATACTTTCCTAAGGAAATGCAGGCAGGATATGACAAAATATAACGAGGAGATCTAACAGACTTGGCTCTCCAAGTTGCGTTAGCTGTAACCCTTCACCTGGGATTCCAGGGAGAAGAAAGGAGCGCAGAAGATGAGAAAAAGAGACACTTTTACTCCAATGGTGGCGCACTGGGTTACCCTTTTTCCAGGCCAACGCTTTCTGCTTTTCTCCACTCTTACCGTCTCTTATCGGTTAGACAAAGAAAGAAGAGAAAGATATTGCGAGTGGAACAATCGAAGGCCGTGAGGGAAAAGATAAAATAATGACAGTTGTTGTCGCTTAAAATGCCGAGGAAGGTGGAAAGTATCCAAAGATGCTACCTTGCGTTTATTTTTTTCTTACTCAAAGTCTGATTTTTACTTTTTTTTATAGCAAAGAACTTTTATTGTGCACACTGCCGAATGATGCTACATTGATTAAGGATTGTTCAACCCCCAATGCCGACCGGAATGCCACAAATCTCCAAAATTGCAGTTTTGATCTCCTGAGATTAATGGGATTAAGAGACCTTCAGTAAATTGGACAAAATTTTGAGTTGGTTGATAGCTTCTAAGCAGAGTTTATCAAGACAAAATTAGAGATTGAGCAAATCTCAAACCGTCTGCTGCTTCTTAAGACAAATTGCTTAGAAAAATACTGGGTGAAGATGGATCTGACAGCGTTCCCCCCGGTAAGACTGGACTAAGAAGGATCAAAATGGTGAATTTCTTCGAGTAAATTGATATATTGCAACCTTTCTAAAATTAAAATAAACAAATAATATTAGTTGAGTAGATAGACATTTTTTTTACATAAACAAGAAGAGTTTCCTTTTATCCATATTACTTCTGAATATTATAAAATTTTTTAGACTATTCATGAGGCTACTCAATTACATCAAATTTGTAATCATTATTTTTAGACTTTTGAACCAATTAAAAACAAACTCACATACACATCATCTATGTAATCTTCGAAACTAAGACCTCTTAATTGGTAGTGAAAAATTCTCAACTAACAGTTGAATATGAGATTGGCCAAATTAATTGTAATTTAAATTGGGCAATAGTTAAATACTTTTTAACTTCCTATCAATGCTTCCCGTCTACTCAACTACCCAAGCAACCTTGTAAAAATGAATTGGCTCTCGTAGTTGAATTGTGAGTATGAGAGATTGACAGTTAACCATAATTGTTGTTGACTTCGTTTTCGTATGAGCTCATCATCTTGAAATATCCAGACTCTTGATTTTTCATCTGATGATTGATAGTCAACTAGCTGTCAATCATCCAGCCAACAACCTCTAGTTTATAGTATACATACATTCAATCTATAACCATCTTCAATCAAACAAACAATCATTCAACACTTCAATCATCCATTCTTTAGCCAACAAGAAATCATGTAGCCAAACAATCATTCAACCTGCACCACACCCTACATTCAATCAACATACACCAACATTCAATCAATCTGTAAATCAACCTGCAATCATTAGAGCAGTTGCTGCCTTGCACTGCAGCCAGGTAGCCCAGTGCATTGCCTAGCTCAAGGCACTAGCCTCTTTGATCTCAATCAGGCTCAAACCATTTCACTAGAAGCATGTCATAGTAAATTATCAATCAATAGATCCTCTAGCCATCAATTAACCCATATGACCTAGTTGAGCTAGCTCAAGCTAAGCTCAAATGATCATATACATTGATCACCTCCAGTTGAACTTCAAATGAAGAATGATCTTCACCAAACTTCTCTAAATATCACTACTAGTGGATTGGACCTAACTGGTCACCCTGACCTTGTCAACTTGACCTATGCTTGGTCAAACCAAGCCAACATAGGGTCAAATCATTGCATGCAATCAGTTCAAGCTATCTAACTCTTCTACATCACTCAACTGCATGCTTTGAACATCCTTAAGCCCTCCACAAGTCAACTCTTTTTTGATTTGACTTGTTGAACAAGTTGGGTTTGGTCAAAACCCTCACTTATACTTTTCACTCATCCAAACTCCAACCTTATTGTTCCAAGTCTTCCAATCAACCTCATCAACAAACTTTACCTTTTCTTGGACTCCACATCCGCTACGTTGATTGTTTGACTAGTCAAGCAGCCAACAAATGCATAAAAGAGCTTTATATGATAAATTTAGCTAATGCAACTACTTCCCTCCATGGAAGCCTATTCAACTAATTCAAAACCCTTCTAGAACATCCCTAAACACTCCCTAAACCCTAAACCTAATCATCCCATATGTGCAAAAGGAAAAAAAAAGGACCTTTATAAAGTATTTTCCTTTTCCTGATTCATTCCCTGCCTTTCTAACCACCTCAAGCCACTTATCAAGCATCAAAGAATATTTCCAAAGGAACCACAACCATCCAATATGTCTCTAGGGTTTGAATTGGGCTAAGTGGGAAAAATTACTCATATTAGCATTTTGACTCTCTCTCACGACCTCCAGTCCAATAGCTGCTTCGTTTTGCATCTACACACATTCCTTCACATTTTCCAAGTTTCAATCCAGTGCTTAGAAGATGCTGACGGTGAGTTTCCGACCAAACCGAACCTAAAGTCTGTCGAAGCCTGATAGCCCTTGATCTTGACCTTCCAAAGCCTCGACGTCTTATGGTGGATTGATCTAGACGTCTCAACAAGCAAAATGAGCCCTAGAACACCTTCTGAGGTTCATCCAATCGTGGTAAATCCCTAACCCTAGCTAAAACTAATTAGGGTTAAATAGCTTCGCAGAAATCACATTTTAAACCATGAAATAACCTCTCCATTGTCCATTTACTTCTAATAAAGCTTTGTTTAAAATTTCATTAAATTTGGTTTAGCCATTTACGAGATTGAGTTTATAGAATCACCATAAGTTGTACAAGATTTTAGCCATTGATATTGCGATCATCGACCCAGTCTCATTGTTTTGTGCTTTATTCGAACATTGCAAAGAGCCTGGTTTCCTGGATCCTCATCCAACACAATCATGGCCATTACTTCCAAACTACAGGCAATCAGATGGTTCTACGGTGTTGCTGATTTCGCTAAGTCAAAAAATGCATACACCAAAAGCTACTTAGTGCATTAATTGATAATGATTGTCGGCAACACAATCATTTGCATAAAAATCCCACCACCGTGGCTTTGAACCTGCTAACTAGAAGCTGAGGTGTGGCCCGCCACTTCCCCCATTTTAATAAAATCAAGTTAAATGTTAACATTCATTAAAAACTTTTAAAAAATAATAGATAATTCATTTTTAAGCCATACTTAGATTTCTTGGGCTCTATGGATTCAAGATGAAGATTACTTTATTTTAAAAATAAAATTTGGTCAATTTGATTAATATTATATTAATTATTTTAATAATACAAAAAAAAACTATTTGAATTTTAAATAAAAATATATTAATCATTTTGACCCAAATTTTGACAGGGATATACTAAAACGGTAAAACCTATCCTTGATCTCCCATGATTTTTCCATGGTCATTTGATACAAGCTTAGGTCATATATGAATTTACAAAAAAAACCTTGGTCATGATTTGATCTAGATTATCAAAAATTCATTATATATATTTTAAATCCATTTTAAACACTTAATCCCTCTATGGAATTATTATGCAGAGCTTAATTAGGGAAAATTAAATTCAAGTGGGTTTATTGAGTGTTTAGGGAATAATTGCATCACCAATGTATTTGAATTTCCATTTAAATATTTCCTTAAACACTCAATCATTTAAATTGAACTTTGGGAGGGATAAATCATGGGACATAAAAAAATAATAATAAAATAAATCATGGGACATCATTGACAACCCATGAGTTTTCCAAAGATACTTTATTTGAATATCAAGGGCTATCAAATTTGTAAGCAATTGGATCATGACTTGCCCCAAATATTTAGGAATTTGATTTATCCAATTTTCCTATATTAAGGACACTATGATTGATGTTGCATGTTTACTTGTATATGCAAGGGTTAGGAACATTAGTTATAAGTCCACACAAGTTTAGAGACACTTAAGGATAACAATTAAGGTGTGTCTAATTAACTTAGGCAATTCTAGGGATACATACACACATCCTATTTGGATGAAACATTAAACATAACAAATTTAGTGGCATTACACCCTATGATTAAATCTACCTTGATTTGATACTAAGTGACTTCAAATAAAAATTAATAAAAATTAATCCTTCATTAAGGGTTAAACCTCAATAATTTATAGTAAATCAAATAAAATCCATAAAAATATCAATTAACCTTCAATCAACTTCAAACTAAATGTAATGTATAATCATAAAAAATAAAATAAAATCCAAACTTAAATTGATTAAATTTGAATTAACATTTTAATTGCCCCTTAATTAAATATTAATTAAGCTTATTCAATAAAAATAAAATTTTGACGTTTAATTCTATTTGGAAGGCGTTTTAACAATAAATTTTAAAGCCTTTAGCACATCTAAAACACCCCATGATCACTTTAAGTTATGTTTGATTTCATTTGAAGGACTCTTACATATTTGATTAAGAGATTTAATAAATCTTAAATAACAAATTAAGGATTCTATGCACCATGCTAGCCTCCACTCATGGAATATAGAACTGTATAAATTTTTACAACCCTTAATTAAACTCAAATAAATTAATGACTATGTACATCGTGCTTGACTCTACTTGGAGGGCATGTGTATTGGATTAATGGGTCTCTTTTCTATCTCTTAATATATTAATAAATAAATTTATTAAGGCTCTTTGTGGTCATCTATTCTATATAGGGGATAATTACATTTCATTTGCAAACCTTTTTAGGATTTATAAATTACTAATCCTTGCACTTTGAGGTTAGTAATATATAAGTTCTTTATAATTAAATAATCAAATCCAACCCTTAAAATTAAAATAATAAAATTAAAAAAATACATTAGATAAACTTCAATTAAATTTATCATTTGACCTTTAATAAACAAACATTAAAAATGCATACAACTTAAACATTAAAGTACTCCTATAGTATATACCAAACTCATACAGCCTCCTACAAACACTTAGATAGTTTGTTAGGACAACCATCTTTAGCCTAAGTTAGGCTGGCGGTGTGGATTGTTTGCCGGGTTTTTTTTGCACGGAGAGCATCATTTATTTGTTTACTTACTTTCTGCACTCTATAAATGTCATACATATTACTTTCTGTTGGTGCACTTAGGCTCTTTAAGGACTGCATTAGAAGCATTAGGATATT